CTGCCCCGCACTGCCCCTGCCCCGCACTGCCCCTGCCCCGCACGCTGCCCCTGCCCCGCACTGCCCCTGCCCCGCACTGCCTCTGCCCTGCACTGCCTCTGCCCCGCACTGCCTCTGCCCCGCACTGTGCCTCTGCCCCACACTGCCTCTGCCCCGCACTGTGCCTCTGCCCCGCACTGCCTCTGCCCCGCTCTGTGCCTCTGCCCCACACTGCCTCTGCCCCGTACTGCCCCTGTCCCGCACCGTGCCTCTGCCCAGCACTGCCTCTGCCCTGCCGACTGGTTCTGCATCTCATTCCTGACCTGCCTTGGTGCAGTTTCTTCTCCTCTTGCTATTTCCACACCACTCTGGAGCCCCCTCGGTCCTGCAGGGCTGGGGAGGGGCCCAGCCCGGCCTGACCCCCTGATCTGCCCTTCCCGCAGCTGCTGGATGGCCTGGGAGCCCAGCCTGGGGGCCTTCTACGGGCCAGCGGCCTTCATCACACTGGTCACCTGCGTGTACTTCCTGGGCACCTACATCCAGCTGCGGCGCCACCCCGAGCGCAGGTACGAGCTGCAGGAGCACCCGGAGGAGCGGCGGCGGCTGGCGGGGCCCGAGGGCAGCCGCTGCCCAGGGCCGCGGCCCTGCACGCCACCTGGCTGCGATGGGCCGGCCGCCTCCCCACTACAGAACGAGCACTCTTTCCAGGCCCAGCTGAGGGCCGCTGCCTGCACGCTCTTCCTATTCTCAGCCACGTGGACCTTCGGGGCCTTGGCCGTGTCGCAAGGCCCCTTCCTGGACATGGTCTTCAGCTGTCTGTACGGGGCCTTCTGCGTGACGCTGGGGCTCTTCGTGCTCATCCACCACTGTGCCAAGCGGGAGGACGTGTGGCAGTGCTGGTGGTCCTGCTGCCCCTCCCGGGGGGATGCCGCCACCTCCACGCCCGGCGCCCACCCCGCCCTGGACGCCAACGGGGACGCACTGGGGCATGCTGCCCGCCTGCCAGACTCCCCCTGTGCAAGCCAGCCCAGGGGCTTCGGCCACCTGCCCTCCGGCCACTGCAAGATGACCAACCTTCAGGCTGCTCAGGGCCACGTCGGCTGCCTGCCACCGGCCACCCCTTGCTGCGCCAAGATGCACTGCGAGCAGCTGATGGAGGAGGAGGCTCACATGCGCATGGCTGAGGGAGACGCCTTCCCGCACACCCCACGCCCGCACAGATGCCTCGAGGGCAGAACTAAGCCCCACTACTTCAGCCGACACCAGGCCGCCGCTCATCAGAGCTACGCCTACCACATCCCCTCCAGCCTGGACGGCAGCGCCCCCAGCTCCCACACAGACAGCCCCCTCAGCTCCCTGGAGGGCCCAGAGGGGGTGCACACACTGGCCTGCTGTGCCCAGGCCGGCCCCTTCCCCCTGGTCAGCCAGCCTGAGGGCGGTGAGGCCAGCCTGGGGCTCTACGGGTGCCCCCCACGGCTGCCTCCAGGCCCGGCCCATCTGGAGATGCTCCGCAGGACACCGTCCCTGTCCTTCCACGGCCCCAGCCCCGACGGGCTCCTCCGGGGCAGCATCCAGGAAGGCCTGCCATTCAGCACTGACAGCACAGGCAACATCCGAACAGGGCCCTGGAAAAACGAAACTACTGTGTAGTTGGGGCGGGAATGTGACCCTCCTCCGGGTGCCGCCAGTCCCTGGGGGGGCTTCAGCACAGAGGGCCCGTCTGCCGCACGAAGCCAGCATAGGGGATGCCAAAGCCGCCCTCGGCTGCAACTCTGTGTAGGAGACCCCAGCGGGAACACACTCTGGTCGGGCCAGCTGCCACCTGTCCCAAAGCGGAATGTGGCCGTGCCATACATCCATTCCCGGGCAGCCTGGCGCCCGCACCCAGCCCTCCAAGCCCACCAGGGCCCTGTCCTGCCTGAACAGCAGGGGACAGCCCAGGTGCTCTCAGTGGGTCCTGTCCGCTGTGTCCCGCCCCGGTGTGGGTTTAGTTTTCTCTGGGAGATCCCACAGCCTCTCTGCTGCCCTCCTGTCGCCCCTCCCCTGCCAGGCTACTGGACCCATGCCGTTGGAAATGCCCGAGCACTTGACTTCCAAAGCCATCCGCTGTGAGGACCAGCTCCTCTCCAATGTGAGCATCACAATTCTGTGCTCATTCCCAAGAAGAGGGGCTTGTGGGGTCTGGTGGTCTCCAAAACAAAATGTCTTTCCTTTTGTGCATTTCTGATAAAAACCCCAATGTCAAGGACAGATGTCAACCACGATGCAGGCCAGTCTGAGCCCAGGAAGTAGGGCAGAGGGCCGCATTCAGGGGATACCCCGGGGACCGAGTCTGCCCTCTCCTGTCTGCCTCATCCCGGTCTGTGATATGCTGGCACACACATTTACAGGAACACCTATGCACACACCACATGATTGAACCCATGCATGTGTGTGCACACATGTCTGTGTGTGTGTGCTCATGGCACACATGTGTGTTCACACAATGCACGTACCTGCCTCTTCACATCCATACACCACATGTGAGCGTGTATAGAAACACCTGCACATACTACAAAACACACACACACACATGCATGTGTCTGCACACTGCCACCTGTGTGCGCACACGATACAAGGCTCACATGCACACATGCACACAGGTACTACAAAACACATACAGGCATGTGTCTGCACACTGCCACCCGTGTGCACATACAATACAATGCTCACATGCACACACATGCACATGTACATACACAGAATTAGTGTGTTTTCTAGCCACATGAGCACTGGGGTTTCCATTGCAGACCTGAGTGCCAGTGTCCCTGTGACCCAGCATCGTGCTCTGCCCCCTGGATAGGCAGCTCCCAGGAGCAGGGCCTCCCACTCTGCGCCTTGGGAAGGGGATGAGGGAGTTCCGAGGGCCCAGGGAAAGGGAGTGGGTGAGCCCAGAGGAACTTGAGGAAGGAGGCAGGTGAGCCCCGAGGGCCCAGGGGAAGGGGTGTAGGTGAGCCCCGAGGGCCTGGGGGAAGGGGTGAGGTGAGCCCCGAGGGCCCAGGGGAAGGGGTGTAGGTGAGCCCCAAGGGCCCGGGGGAAGGGGTGTAGGTGAGCCCCGAGGGCCCGGGGAAAGGGTGTAGGTGAGCCCCGAGGGCCCGGGGGAAGGGGGCAGGTGAGCCCCGAGGGCCTGGGGGAAGGGGGCAGGAGAGCCCCGAGGGCCTGGGGGAAGGGGGCAGGAGAGCCCAGAGGGCCTGGGGGAAGGGGGCAGGAGAGCCCCGAGGGCCCGGGGGAATGGGTGTAGGTGAGCCCCGAGGGCCCGGGGGAAGGGGTGTAGGTGAGCCCCGAGGGCCCGGGGGAAGGGGGCAGGTGAGCTCTGAGGGCCCGGGGGAATGGGGTGGGTGAGCCTCGAGGGCCCGGGGGAAGGGGTGTAGGTGAGCCCCGAGGGCCCAGGGGAATGGGGTGGGTGAGCCCCGAGGGCCCAGGGGAATGGGTGTAGGTGAGCCCCGAGGGCCTGGGGGAATGGGGTGTAGGTGAGCCCCGAGGGCCTGGGGGAAGGGGGTGGGTGAGTCCACGGCCTCAGAACAGCACTCTGACAAAGGAGGCGCTGTGCTAGGTGACACTCAGTATCTGAGTAAGGAGCCTGGCAGCCCTGACACAAGTGTGTGAGCTGCACCTAGCACAGGATCCCCATGTCCCTCAGGTCAGCAGATGTGCAGCAGAGGAGCATCAGGCAACCAGCACCTGTGGCCCCAGCCTCTCACCTGCTTCCGTAGCTGATGTGCACAGAATCCATGTTAAGCTGTGTACACACTGTAGATGCAGACTGTCCAGACAAAATACAGTGTTTTTCATTACTGGCCCTGGTGTGGCTGTTCAATCACAAACGTGTTTCTCATCCTTAATGGGGAAGGAGGGCAGGGTAGGGCTGGGCCCCTGAGCCCCAGGCCCTGGCCCTCAGCGCCTGCTGCCCTGGGCAGAGTCAAGAAGTGCCTCACTGCCAGAAAAATTCTGCATTAAACATGGAAGCTTGTGTTTCAATGCTGCTTTCTCCTCCCAAGTCCACATGGGGGCAGGACTGTGCAGCTCCCCAGTGTGCCCTGCCGCTGAGCATGAGGATTTCCAGTGTAGCTGTGTCCATGAGCATGTGACACTGAACCACGGAACACACCGGGCCCTGCCTGCAGATGTGCGGGTCCCCTTTCCGCCTTTGTGAACACGCGTGTGGGCAGCCAGTGTGGTGTCAGCGTGTGGCAGGAGCGTGCACAGGAGTGTGTGCTGTGCTGGTGATGGTGTGAGGATGGTGCGTGTGCACACAGGAGTGTGTAGAAGGATAAACATGGCTGTGTGTGTGGCAGAAGGTACTGTCTGCACTGGGCACACGGGTTAGAAGCGGGGAGGAGCCAGAGCACTCAGACTCAGTGTCACCACATAGAACCAGGCTGACGCACACGCCAACAAGTTCAGAAACCTGGGCAGCCGGGTTGGGGGGGCACCGGGGCCCTCAAGAGGTCCCATGCTGGGATGCTGCAGACACAGGATCGCGTCCAGGAGATGGGGCTGGACTGCGGAGGCCGGTGGGCATTGGGCCTCCTTGGCCAGGTCGTGCACCCAGTGTCTCCTCCTCTGCGCTCACCAAGCTCCTCACCAAGCTCCTCCTGACTGATGGCTTTGCACCAGGAGCCCGAGCCCCCCTCTCCACCCCACCCTTCCCTCTTCCCACCCCTTCCCATCCTTCCCCTCCCCCCTTCTCCCCACCCCACCCCTCCCTCCAGCAGCAGCCCAGACCCTCCTCTGGGAGGGCCAGCCTGGACTGCAGGAGCAGGGGTGGGGGGGGCTGTCCTCCTCTGGGAGGGCCAGCCTGGACTGCAGGGGCGGGGGTGGGGGGGCTGTCCTCCTCTGGGAGGGCCAGCCTGGACTGTAGGGGCGGGGGTGGGGGGGGCATCCATGGCCCTGTGGGAGCAGGGGCATCAGTCTCAGGACGCTGTGAGATCCGTCAATCTGCAGGTCACGCATTCCTGGTCAGCCCCTTGTCAATGCTATGTAAACTACCTGTCACATGCCACATGCCCACCCAAAGCAGCAACAGTGGCCATACCCGGCCTGGCCACAGCATCCACCCCCGAGCCTCAGCTCCCTGCAGCAGTGGCAGCTGTCCAGGACTGTTGGCATTTCTTGGGTTCAATGGTCCCAGCCCAGGGCTGTCTTGTGGGCCTTGGCCTGGGTGGGACGGGTGTCAGAACACCCCCATGGTGTCCCTCAGCCTGCTCTGCGCGGCCCCCCTCCCCCGCCGGCACGTGGCGGCTCCCACCTGTTGCAGACTCAAGCACAGCGTCCGGTAACATGGCTGCAGCCTGCACCTGGAGACAGGCACCACAGTGGGCCAGGGCAGAAGCACGCAGAGCCGACCGAGCAGAGGACGGGAGCTGGGGGTGGACACAGAGGTGGAGGAGAGCGCTGGCACAGCGCAGGCCAGGGCAGGGCACCGCTGCAGGCTCTGCGGACCAAGCTGCGTGTGGGGAAGACAGAACCTCCGGAGAGAGGAAGGAAGCGCCTGGGCCTTGCATGAGAAGAACCCAGAAGGGCCCGGACCAGCACCCCTCCCTTCCCCCTGCCATACCTAGACTCCGGGGGTTCTGGTTCCTAGAGATCTGTGACAGGAAGGAGACCCGAGGAGGAAGGAGCGGAAGACCCTGTCAGAACTTCATCAGCCCACTTAAGCCAGGCCCGTGGGGAGCTGCTTCTTTGTGAGAGAGGCAGTGACCTCTGGGGACCACCCTGGTCCTGCGAGGGGTTGGGGGAGGCTACTGCAGGCCCACATGCAGGCTCCTCGGGACAGCCCAGGACTCAGCCTAGGACCTCAGCCAAGGACCTCAGCCTAGGACTCACCCTAGGACCTCAGTCTAGGACTCAGCCTAGGACTCAGACTAGGACTCAGACTAGAGCTCAGCCTAGGACCTCAGCCCAAAACTCAGCCTAGGACTCTGCCTAGGACCTCAGCCTGGGACTCAGCTCAGGATCAGCCTAGGACTCAGCCTAGAATCTCAGCCTAGGACCGCAGCCTAGGACTCAGTCGAGGACGTGAGCCCAGGATTCAGCCTAGGACTCAGCCCAGCACTCAGCCTAGGACCTCCGCCAAGGACCTCAGCCTAAGACTCAGCATAGTATTCAGCCTAGGACTCAGCCTAGAGCTCAGCATAGGACCTCAGCCTAGGACTCAGCCTAGGACTCACCCTAGGACTCAGCCTAGAGCTCAGCCTAGAACTCAGCCTAGGACTCAGCCTAGGACTCAGCCAAGGACTCAGCCTAGGACTCAGCCAAGGACTCAGTCTAGGACTCAGCCTAGAACTCAGCCCAGGACTCAGCCTAGGACTCAGCCCAGGACTCAGCCTAGGACTCAGCCTAGGACTCAGCCTAGGACTCAGCCTAGGACTAAGCCTAGGACTCAGCCTAGGACTCAGCCTAGGACTCAGCCGAGGACTCAGCCGAGGACCTCAGCCTAGGACTCAGCCTAGGACTCAGCCTAGGACCTCGGCCTAGGACTCAGCCTAGGACTCAGCCGAGGACTCAGCCTAGAACTCAGACTAGGACTCAGCCGAGGACCACAGCATAGGACTAAGCCTAGGACTCAGCCTAGGACTCAGCCTAGAACTCAGCCAAGGACTCATCCTAGG